TTTAGCTCAGCGGCAAAAGCGCCTGCCTGGCAAGCGCAAGGTCGTGAGTTCGGTTCCCGGTACCGGAGAAAAACCAAAAAAAAAAAAAAAACAAACCAACAACAGCAAAATAAGTCTTTGGTGAAAGCCAGCCGACATTGTAACAGTTTACTGTAATTAAAATACTATGTCTTTGGGGCTGGGGATTTAGCTCAGCCGCACAGCGCCTGCCTGGCAAGTGCAAGGTCGTGAGTTTGATTCCCGGTACTGGGGGTCGGAATACTATATCTTTGTGCTCATGGCCTATGATAACAATGCTTTGTGGATATAGGTATAAGGATATTTTCTAGAGAAGGTTTAGTATAATCAACATTATTCCCTACTTCTAGGAGAATAGTTATCAGTTTATTTATTTTATATAATTTTTATTTCTTTTTATTTTTTGTGGTTATAGGAATCAAACCCAGGACCTTGAATATGGTAGCCAAGTGTTCTACTACCAAGCTGTACCCCTAACTCCTAATTTTTCTTTTCTCTTTTTTTTTTTTTTTGTATAAGGAATTGAACTCAGGACCTTGTGCTTGCCAGGCAGGCATTTGTGCCACTGAGCTATATGCCCGGCCCTTTTTTTTGTTTTTTGAGACAGGACCTTAAACTGTTCAGGTGGCCTTGAGCTCACTATGTAGTCTAGGCTGGCTTTGAACTCACCATCCTACTGCCTCAGCCTCCCATGTACTGACATAATGGGTGTGTGCCACCATTTCCTGCTCTTCTTTTTTAAATGAAAGAATTCTACTGTGATTTGTGCCTATAATTCTAGCTGCTTAGGAGACCGAGACTTAGGAACTTGGTGAAACCTTGTTTTAAAATAAAAACCAAGCCAGGCGTGGTGGCGCACACCTGTGATTCCAGCACTGGGAAGGCTGAGGCAGGAGGATTGTTGCGAGTTCGAGGCCAGCCTGGGCTACAAAGTGAGCTCAAGGCCAGCCTTAACTACATAGCGAGACCCTGTCTCAAAAACACAAATAACTACCTACCTACCTACCTAACTAAATAAATAAATAAATAGATAGATAAAAACCAAAAGGGGCTGGAGATGTAGTTTGGGATGGGAGCACTTGCCTGGCCCTGGATTCAATACCCAGTACTGCGGAGTGGAGGGGTATCACAGTTTATCACAGCATTGCATTCTTAAGTGTGGCAACAGATCTTGCTGATTTAGGAACTAATGCATCAGAATCTCATCACAAAATTCTAATTTCCATTGAGGAAATTTCTCAGTTATGCTGAGATATGAGCTCATATTTTCTCTTTCAGGTTTGGTTTCAGTGACATGCTATAACTATTGTTATTATTACTGTTATTATTATTTTGTTTATTTGAGGCAGGGTCTTGCTATGTGATTCAGGCTGGCCTTGAACTTGCCATGTAGGCCAGGCTGGTTGTGAATTTGAACTCCTGCCTTAGCCTCCTGAGTGCTGGGATCACAGGGCGCGGGCCACCACATCCAGAATCCTGTGACATTCTTAGTGTCTACCTGAAGCCTAGGGATAACAGCAAGTTGCCGGGGATACAGCTCAGTGGCACAGCGCCTCCCTGGCAAGTGCAGGGTCCTGAGTTTGATTCCTAGTACCAAAAACAAAACAAAACAAACCCAACAAGTGGAAGAGAGTACTCACAACAAGTAAACACAGAAGAAAAGGGAGGCTCTGATAAATGTGGGCAGGGCCAATGAAAAATTGATGGTCCCAATCAGAAGTGCTGCAACCTACTGACTTCTAATACCATTAGATCTCACCACGCCTGTATTCCCAGCACGCTGGAGGCTGAGGCAGGAGGATTGTTGTGAGTTCGAGACCAACCTGGACTACAAAGTGAGCTCAAGGCCAGCCTGAGCTGCATAGTGAGACCTTGTCTCAAAAAGACAAAAAAAAATTATAGAATAGATCTCACCAATCTCTCGAGCAATCTCTGTGATGTGGTCCCAGTTTTCACTCAAGGAAGTACAGGCTGATTGGTACTTCTTGTCTCATTTTACAGGAAAATGATGGACTCCGGACAGATTGATTTTTACCAACATGACAAAGTGTGCTCCAATACCTGCAGAAGCACCAAATTTGATCTTCTGATCAGCAGCGCAAGGGCGCCAGTGCCGGGACAGCAGACAAGTGTGGTGCAGACACCCACTTCGGCCGATGGTAGGGGGTAGGAAACCACCTGAAAACCCGCTGTGCTTCTGAGCAGCACTTTCCCCTCCTTTCTCTCTGGTGTTTCTTAATTTCACTTCTCATGAGCTTTGATGTGCTTTGGAAGGTATGGTAATTTTGGGTAGGAGTCTGTGCTTTGGAAACAGATTCCCCCCACCTTCTTCATAAGTAATTCTTGTTGGACGGATCTTCTTCCTTGTATTTTGCGAGGTTGTTTTGATTTGTTTTGTTTCCTTTTGTTTTGTGGTGCTTAGGATGTTTTTGACAACACATGGGGCTGGGGATATAGCTCAGTGGCATAAGCGCCTGCCTGGAAAGTGTAAGGTCCTGGGTTTGATTCCCAATACCAAAAAAAAAAAAAGACAACACATGATAAGCATTAAAAAGATGTTCCATATTTATAATGCATACACAGTGATCCCACTTGGACGCCACTTCGCATATTAAGGTTGAAATTAGACTGTTTTAGAAATCTTTTGCTCTAGGGGCCAGGGATATAGGTCAGCAGCGCAAGTGCCTGCCTGGCAAGCTCCAGGTCCTGAGTTCGATTCCTGGTACCCAAAAAGAAAAAATGTTACTAAAAATCCTTGGCTCCATTGTGCTCAAGATGGGAAGGTGGATTAGACTGACAACTGGTTTTATCTGCTGGAGTGTGGTGTATGAGAGCCCGTGTACCGTTGCCGGGGCTGGACGATGGAGATGCTGCTGTCAGGATCAGGGAGCTCTGCCTGTGTGGGTCCAGATTGCCCAACTGAGGCTTCCTCACAGATAAGCAGGATGGGCACCCACTTAATTTCAGGCTTGTTGAGCTGGAGTCAAGGGCTCCTCCTCACCATCATGAAGGAAGGATGTAACTGTGTGAGAGATTATACTAAAAGATTCAGTCCGTCCAGCTGAAGCCATACCACAGCTGGATAAAGTGCATCTCAAATAGCAAGCCCTGATGGTACACGCCTGCAGTCCCAGCACTCTGGAGCTTGAGGCAGGAAGATTGAGTGTTCCATACCAGTCTGAATTACATAGTGAGAGATTGTCTCCAACCAAAAAAGGTGTATCAAATAGTTATAAAACTTAAAATATATCCAGAGGAGAGTCACATGAATGCTCAAGGATCTACGAGGTTAGGGAATTACTGTGCTTAAAAAATGACCTTCTACTTAGTGCCTTAGTGAGAGCCTTTCTCAAAATAAAAACGGGCTGGGAATGTAGCTCGGTGTGAAAGCCCTTGGATCACTCCCCAGTTATTCCCTCTTGCACACACAAAACTTTCATTTTGGCCAGCTCTAACGTTTTCTGAATAACACTTTCGTTCAGGAAATTTAAAATTTCTAGCAGTTTGGATACTTGATTCTTTCACTTGAAAAGTGAAAAATGCTTTGAAATAATTCACTTCATTTTTCTTTGGCTAAAACTGCTTTACTTGATTATTAATTATTAATAATAATTAATATTATTTCTTCATTAGATGATTGATATCTTCAAGTGCTTAGAGTCTGCATTATCTGTATGCTGTCTGGATCAATTTGATTTTTCCCAATTCTTTTTGTTTTAAATCTTCATAGACAATAGCAGAGGTTTTTGTTTTTTCTCTGTGAACCTGTTATTCATGGATCTCTTACCTAACTCTTTCCGTCTCTGTTTCTCACTTTCTCTTTAGTGGCTGATAAATAAGGCATAGCAGCTTCATATATTTTATTTTATTTATTTATTTATTTTTTTGTTTTTGGCTTTTTGAGACAAGGTGTCACTATGCAGTTCAGGTTAGTGTTGAGCTCACTTTGTGGCCCAGGCTGGGCTCGAACTCACAACAATTCTCCTGCCTCAGCCTCCTGAGTGCTCCCGGGCCACCACGCCCGGCTTCATATATTTTAGAGGTTTTTTTGTTTTGTTTTGTCTTTTTGAGACAGTGTCTCTCTTTGTAGTTCACACTGGCTTGAGTTCACTTTTAGGCCAAGCTGGTCTCAAACTCATGAAATCTTCCTGAGATTACAGGGGTGTGCCACCATGCCTGGCATATTTTAGGTTTTTAGTATTGAATGTATATAGAGCAGGGCTTCTGGCAAAGCACCGTCCACCTGCATTAGTTCCTGTCCTCTTCCTCAGGAGGCCAGGGTGGGCAGCCCTGCAACCATGCCTACCTTTGCGCTCTTTCAAAAGCATCTGCTCAGGAAGCAGATTGCCCTGTTACATTTACCTTTCTTTCCTTTTCTTTTTTTTTTTTGGTCTCTTTTGAGATAGGGTCTCACTATGCAGTTCAGGCTGGCCTTGAGCTCACTTTGTAGCCCTGCTGGTCTCGCACTCACAACAATCCTCCTGCCTCAGCCTCCTGAGTGCTGGGATTACAGGGCTGTGCCACCACACCTGGCTATGTTTACCTTTCTAGTCAAAGTAAGAAGAAAGCGTTTTCTTTTCAAAGGCAGGTTTTTCAGTTTGGGTTTTTTTTTTTTAGAAAATCTAATATTCACCCCTCTTCCCTATGATTATAGTTTTTAAAATAGGGGCCGTAGGCAAGAGGTGAGTGTGTTAGAATTACAAGGCCTCCATGGGGGTGTGAGATAGAGGACGGTGATGACTCTGGCATCCAACTCACTGGCTCTGCATCCAACGGACTCCCCTTAGGTGGCATCACACAGATCGCCATCTCCGAAGAGAGCATGGAGGAGGCGGGGCTGGAGTGGAACTCAGCGCTCACTGCTGCCGTCACCATGGCCACCGAGGAGGGTGTGAAGAAAGACTCGGAGGAAATTTCAGGTACCTTCCCCTGCAGCTCAGCTCTCTGGCAGACTTTTTCTGCCCCTCATCATCCTTATGATCACAGAGAAAGAAGAGCTGTTAATTGCTTTTGCTGGCTTTTCTCATGCATATGGATACTAATTATAGCTACAAACCTTTTTTTTTCTTTTTCTTTTTTTTTTTTTTTGTCTGTTTGAGACAGGGTCTCGCTATGCAGTTCAGGCTGGCCTTGAGCGCACTTTGTAGCCCAGGCTGGTCTCGAACTCACAATGATCCTCCTGCCTCAGCCTCGTGAGTGCTGGGATTACAGGCGTGCACCACCATGCCTGGCCAAACATTTTATTTTAATCCATGTAACCACCGTGCTCAGTCACATTTTACCCGGGAAGAAACAGGGATTCAGAAAGGCTCACCAGCTGCCTCCTGGACACCCCACCATTGCGTGTCGGAACTGAATTCAGCTATGTAACTCTGTGGTCCGTGCCTTTTCTCCTATCAAAATGCCCCTGACTTTGGCACATTTCTCTTTTTTTGGCACAAACCAGGCTTCAAGATGTTAGAAGGAAAAGTAGGTAGCAAGTGGCATAGAGTCTGATAATCAGTGACCTTCTTAAAGGAGAGCAGAAGAGGTTCATGTCATCTTCTGCTTACTAATTAACCTAAGGGTCTGGGGGTATAGCTGAGCAGCACAACGCCTGCCTGGCAAGCACGAGGTCATGCGTTCGATTCCTGGTACCCCCACCAAGAAATTAATCTAATAAACATTTACCATGCCCTGTTTTTTAGTTGGCTGTGTTGCTAGAAGCTAGGTATGTAGCCACTACCTGCAGGGAGCTTATAGCCCTATCCAAATATTTTTTTCTGAAGGGTGAGTATATCTTAATTAACATTTACCTGACTGTCTTTATTATCTAACTTTTATAATACTAAATATTTTATAATTCAAGTTAAATTTGAATTTAATCAAATAATATTTAACCTTTAATGCTTGTTTAAGGTCTCACTGAATATCCTTAGCAGAGGAGCATGTCTGTTTTTATAGCCAGAGCCATAACAAATTGAGGGCATGACAAACTGGGCAGTCCCCCGAGTCCCTGAAGGTGTGAGAGGGCCAGCTTCTTAGGTACCACCTCAGGGAGGCAGTTTGTGTCCCCAAAGTTGCTTTCCTTTGTCTAGAACTGGCCCAACAAGGAATCTTCCTGAATTGAAGTACTTTTGATTTAACACTGTAGAGTTGTGCCTCGGTCTGTCCTTAGCATCCTTCGCTCACCTCTGTCTTACCCCTCTTGTGCTAGAAGACACTTTGATGTTCTGGAAAGGAATAGCTGACGTAGGGCTGATGGAAGAAGTTGTCTGCAACATCCAGAAGGAAATAGAGGAGCTGCTCAGGGGAGTTCAGCAGCGGCTCCTCCAGGCTCCCTTCCAGGTCACAGGTATGTGTGCTGATGCTGAGCACAGTGCTCATTTACTGAGGACTCGTAAAGGTAGGCAGGTCCTGTTAGCCTCACAACACTGATACGGATATTATTATCTCCACTGTACAGAGAGGAAAACCAAGGCTCGTAAAAGTTAAGTCACCTGTTCCACATTCATAAGTGCATTATTTTGTTTTGTTTTTGAAACAGGGTCTCATTATGTAATTCAGGCTTGCCTTGAACTGGTGGCAGTTCTCTTGCCTCAGCCTCCCAAGTGCTGGGATTATAGGCGTGTGCCCCCATACCCAGCTGTGTTTTTGGTTTGGTTTGATTTGGTTTTGAGATAGGGTCTCACTATGCAGTTCAGGCTGGCTTGGAACTCACTATGTAGCCCAGGCTGGCCTCGAACTCACAGTGCTCATCCCAGCCTCCCAGGTGCTGGCATCATAGGCATGCGCCACCACACATAGCTCTGCCTGGGTAATTCAGCAAGACTCTGTCTCAAAAAATAAAAAGTGATGGAGATGTAACTCAGTGTGAAGTCTTTAGGCTTAATTCCCTGTAGTGCAAAAACAAAAAAGAAAGGAAAAAGAAAAAAATCACTCTAGTTGCTGGGCAGAGAGCTATGGGACAAGAGTGAAAATAAAAGACCCACTGGAAAATTTAAAAAGATTAGTACAAGCAAGAAGTGATGTGGTAGCTGGATGTGGTGGTGCACACCTGTAATCCCAGCACTCGGGAGGCTGAGGCAGGAGGATTGTTGTGAGTTCGAGACCAGCCTGGGCTACAAAGTGAGCTCAAGGACAGCCTGAACTGCATAGCAAGAGCCTGTCTCAAAAAACAAACAAAAAAGAAATGATGCAGCATGGATACGAGTAGATAATGGTAGACCTGGAAAATGATCAGAGTGGGGGTGGTTTTCTTTCTGTTCTTTTTTGAAATGGGATCTCACTAAGCTAACTAGGCTGGCCTAGAACTTGCAGTCCTCCTCCTTCAGCTTCCCATGTGGCTAAGACTTCAGGTAGGTGGCACTGAATCCGCCTGGGGGATGTATTTTGAATACGGAACTGACAAATCTTGTTGATGGGCTGGATGTGGGGTGAAAGAAAAAGGCACACAGGATAATTCTTAACTTTTTGACGTGAGCTGAGTGGTGATGACATGTATTTATTATTTTCCTTTCTGTTTTGGAGTTCTGGGGACTGAATAGGGCCTGATGTACGGTGATGATGATGGTGCCATTTACTGAGATGGAAACCACGAGAGAAGGGACAGGATTAGAGAGTAAATTATAAGTAGATTTTTTTTTAAGGTTTCTTTGAGACACGATCTCACTATGTAGTTCAGGCTGACCTTGAACTCACTGTGTAGCCCAGGCTGCCCTCACATTTGCAGCGATACTCCTGCCTCAGCCTCCCAAGTGCTGGGTTAACAGGCATGAACACCACACCTGGCTTTGAGACAGTATTTATTTATTTATTTTAAAGGCAGGGCGTAGAGGCAAGTGCAGGTAGTCCCAGCACTCTGGGAAACTGATCCGGGAGGATTGCTGAGTTTGAGGCCAGCCGGGGCTACGTAGTGAGTTGAAGACTAGCCAGGAATACTTAGTAAGATCCTGTTGCAAAAAAAAAAAAAGGCTGAGTTGTAGCTTCCTTGTGTGCATGCGCATGCACACACACACACACACACACACACACACACACACACAGAGGCAATGAGGAGAGTCCCGTAATTTCTGGGTGTTTCATGTGTGTAAGCAGCATCGCAGGGAGCTGGGGGGACATTTCTGTTCGAATGTCAAGGCGTGTGTTTTGTTTTAAGTAGATGCGGCTGTCCTCAACAACGTAGCGCACACATTTGGCCTGATGGACACGGTCAAGAAGGTTTTGGACAACAGAAGGAACCAAGTAGAGCAGGGAGAGGAGCAGTTTCTCTGTGCTCTGACAGGTGTGTGACCCACCTTCCCTCCGCACGTGCCCTCATTTCCATGCGTCCTCCCGTTTTCCTGTTGGCTTTGATTGGGACTTTTTCAAAATTCCCGTAGAATCAGGTTTTTCATTTTGAAAGAAAAATAGCCCCAGGTGAGATGGAGTGGTGGGAAGCAAAGGAGGCACAAAACAAAAAGAAAGCCAGTGATGATTCTTTTATTTGAGACAGGATCTCACTATGCAGTTCAGGCTGGCCTTGTGCTCACTTTGTAGCTGAGGTTGGTCTTGAACTCACAATGATCCTCCTGCCTCAGCCTCCTGAGTGCTGGGATTACAGGCGTGCGTCACCACGGCCGGCTCTCCAGTGATGATTCTCCTTCATTTCTTTTGGGGGTTTAAGGCATTTGCTAGATTGCTCCATTAATCCAGCCATGTTGGTGGTAGAAGACACAATGTAGTAATTGTCTAACATTGTTGATACTGGTTCTTTTGGTAGATATAAATTTTGCATCTTCTTAATTATTTGTAGTTATCAAAAATTATGAGGAATTAGCCAGGTGTGGTCGTGCACACGTGTAATCGCAGCACTCGGAAGGCTGAGGCAGGAGGGTCATGGTGAGTTTAAGACCAGCCTGGGCTACATAGTTCAAGGCCAGCCTGAATTACAGAGCAAGACCCTGTCTTAAAAACATAAACTCTGTTTTAGAAATATAAGATTGAAACCTAGAGTGGTGCATGCCTATAATCCCGACACTCTGGGGGACTAAGGTAGGAGGATCACAAGTTTGAGCCCAGCCTGGGTAACTTAGTGACTTAGTAAGGTACTGTCACAAAATAAAAATTTAAAAAAGGCTATACCTTAATGTGAAGGGCCTGGGCTCAATCTCTAGTGTCCTCCCCCAGAAACATCCAAACAAACAACCCCACAAAAGTATGCTTTGTTGTAGCAGGAAAAAAAAAAAAACAGCAATAGCAGCTTTGGGTAGAGAAAGATGCCAAACAAGCCAGAGATATGGATATGTGGATTATGAGGTTTTGAATATTGTAGTCAGTCACAGACCCAAAAGGGACGAAAAATCAATAGATAAAAGGGCAGTTTATGTTGTTTTAAACTTATCTTTGCCAGGCATGGTGGCGCACGCTTGTAATCACAACACTCAGGAGGCTGTGGCAGGAGGATCATTGCAAGTTCAAGGCCAGCCTGGGCTATAAAGTGAGCTCAAGGCCAGCCTGAACTGCATACTGAGACCCTGTCTCAAAAAGACCAAAAAAAAAAAAAAAAAAACCCTTATCTTTATATTCAGTTTATATTTTAAACTCAGTTTACTGAGCTTGCTCAGTGCCTTGAGAGCGCTAGGATGGGCGCTTTCCCTGTGGACCCTGTGGAGGCCCTCAGGAGAAATGGTTTACCTGAGGCCATGTCACACTGGGTAGAGAAACTTTTTTATTTTCTTTTTTTTGTTTTTTTGAGACAGGGTCTTGATATGCAGTTCAGGCTGACTTTGAATTCACTATGTAACTGAGACTGGCCTCAAACTCACGGAGATCCTCCTGCCTCAGCCTCTCAAGTGCTAGGATTTTTTTTTTTTTTCTGTTTGAGACAGGGTCTTGCTGTGTAGTCCAGGTTGGACTTGAACTTGCAATGTAGCCCAGACTGGCCTCAAACTCACTGTGATCCACCTGCCTCAACCTCCCGAGTGCTGGGGTTATAGGCATGTGCCACCACATCCACCCAGCAGAAAAAACCTTAGCAAATCTTTGTCTGGTGCTTTCTGTGATGTTAGAACTTTAAACCACCAGAAGAATGGTTTTTGTTAGAAATGGAGCTTCTATTCTAGTAGTTCTTGTTGAATTTCTTTCTTTCTGTCTACCCGCTCCCCTTTCCCTCCCTGTCTGCCTTCCTTCCTTTCTTTCTTGTACTGATCATTAAGACCAGGGCTTTTATTCTGAGCTCTATCTCCAGCCCTTTATTTTATTTTATTTTTTATTTTGAGGCAGGATCTTGCTTAGTTGCCCAGGATGGGCTCAAACTTCGGATCCACCTGCCTCAGCCTCCCAGACTGTTAGGATTATAGGCGTGTACCACCACAGCCAACTTTATTCTATTTTATTTTATTTTAGTTTTTATTTTATTTTATTTTTATTTATTCATTTATTTTGAGGTGAGGTATTTCTGTGTTGCCCTGACTGGCTTTGAACTCCTGGCCTCAACTTTTCCTCCTGCCTCTGCCTCCTGAGTAACTGGCACTGTAGGTGTGTGCCACTGCACTGAGCTTATATTTTTAGTTTTAATTATGATATAACATGAACCCCTGCCGGGCATAGTGGCACATACCTGTAATCCCAGCACTGGGGAGGCTGAAGCAGGAGGATCGCTGTGAGTTCGAGGCCAGCCTGGGCTACAAAGTGAGCTCAAGGCCAGCCTGAACTGCATAGCAAGACCCTGTCTCAAAAAAAAGAGAAAAATAACAAAAACAAACAAACAAACAAAAAAAACCCCGTGAGGTTCAGTGGTAATTTTTTATGAATTTTTGTGACCTATAATCAAATTCCTGAGAAGATTGTGCCAATTTGTTCTTTTTTTCTTTTGTACTCGGAATCGAACTCAGAATCTTGCGCTTGCCAGGCAGGCACAGTGCCACTGACCATATCCCCAGCCCTGATTATGCCAGTTTGTGTCACCAGTTTGAGCATATCAATAATGGTCTTTTTTTTTTTTTTTTGGTCATTATTATTTTTGATTCCTTTGTTTTTTGTTTTTGTTTCTTGCGCTTTACTGAGGATTGAACCCAGGGGCTGAGTACCACTGTGTTACATCCCTAGCTCTTTTTACTTTTTATTTTGAGACGACGTCTTGTTAAGTTGATAAGTTGCCCAGGCCGGACTCAAACTTGTGACCCTCCTACCTCAGCCTCCAAGTGCTGAGGTTACAGGCATGTGCTACCATGCCTGGCTTCAAGTGCACATTTCTTTGATTACCTTTGAAGATGGAAAAAAAAATTCAATTCTCCCTTTTATTCAGGAGGCTGAAGTAGGAGGATCACAAGTTCAAGGCTGCCTGAGCAACTTAGCAAGACCCTGTCTGGAAATAAAAAGGGCTAGGGATGTAGTTGTGTGAAGGCCCTGGGTTCAATCCTCTATTCCACCAAACCAAACGAAACCAAACTCACAATACTGCAAAGATGTACAGGAACAGTTAGATGGAAGCATTATATAGGGCAAGGTTAGAAGAAAAGCGGCGGGGGGCCAGGGATATAGCTCAGTGGCACAAGCGCTTGCTGCGAGGTCTTGAGTTCGATTCCCGCTACCAAAAAAAAAAAAAAAAAAAGCAGCATGGCGCTCTGCTGCGCTTTCGGGATGTACACGCTCCAGGAACCTCCATGCCTTCAACATCTGGAAGCTCACAGCCCCTTCCTGTTTATGGAGGCTTTCTTATGCAGGCATGCCGATCACCTCATCACCTCATCGGTGCAACTTGCCTGGGTGCAACTTGCCAGGCAGGCGCTCTGCTGCTAAGCTGTAGCTCAGCCCTCAGTAACTGTCTGTAGATGGCTCTGGGCTAATGGGGGAGTGACAGTGTAGCTTACCAGCAAAGGAGCTTTGCATGCAGTGCAGCCAAGCTTGTTTTCCCCAGTGGTCCTTGTAGCTCCAGGACAAACTGTGCAGACAGCCTTCTCTTGCCTCCTTGCCCTCTCCCTCCTTTTCTTTCTCTTTTCTGGTCTTTTCCTTTTCCTTTCCTTTCCTTTCCTTTCCTTTTTCCTTTTTCCTTTTTCCTTTTTCCTTTTTCCTTTCCTTTTTCCTTTCCTTTTTCCTTTCCTTTTTCCTTTCCTTTTTCCTTTCCTTTTTCCTTTCCTTTTTCCTTTCCTTTTTCCTT